CCAACTCAAAAAAAAAAAAAAAAAAAATTCATATGGACAAATAAAAGAACACGACTAGCCAAAACAATGCTTAACAAAAGAAACAAAGCAGGAGGTATCACACTTCCAGACTTTAAATGCTGCTGTGAGGGTACAATAATCAAAACAGCCTGGTATTGGTACAAGAACAGGCATATAGATAAATGGAAGAGGATAGATATTCTGGAAGTGAAACCTCAATTTCTCAATCAACTCTTTTTTGACAAAACCTCCCCAAAAACACTGGGAATAGGAGAACTTATTCAGTAAATGGTGCTGGGGAAACTGGCTCACCACATGCAGACTATTGAAACAGGATCTCTATGTATCATCATACACACAGTTAGCTCGACATAGCTGAAAGTCCTAACTACAAACCCTTCAACTATAAGAATCTTAGAAGAAAACAAAGGAAACACCCTTATGGAAATTGGAATAGGGAAAAAAGTTTCTGGTCAACTCTACAAAAGTGAATGCCATAAAGGATAAGACAGACATGTGAGATCTCATAATACTGAAAACTTTTGCAAAGCAAAAGAAACCATCAGGAGTGTGGGAAAATAGCCCACAGAATGACATAAAAATATTTTCCAACAGTAAATCTGACAAAGTCCTAACATTCATGATCTACAAAAAACTCAAACGTGCCAAAAGAAAAAAAAAAAAAAACCCTATTAAAAAGTGGGCAAGCCAGGTTCGGTGGGTCAGCCATTTAATCCCACGCTTTAGGAGGCTGAGGTGAGTGGATTGCCTGAGCCCATGGGTTTGAAACCCACCTAGGACACTTGGCAGAGACCTCATCTGTACAGTAAATCAAAAAAACAGCCGGGCATGGTAGTGCATGCCTGTAATTCCGGCTACTCGGAAGGCTGAGGTGGAAGGATTGCCAGAGCCCAGCAGGTCTCACTCTGTCACTCAGACTGCAGTGCAGTGGCTGCTCCTGGCCACCGCAGCATTCCAGTCTGAGTGACAGAGTGAGACTTCAACTCAAAAAAAAAAGTGAGCAATATATAAAAATAGATATTTCTCATAAAAGACATATGAACAGCCAACAGATACATGAAAAAACGCTCAATATAAGTAATCGTCAAAAAAATGCAAATTAGAACCACACTGAGATACCACCTAACTCCAGTCAGGATGGGCTCAATAACTCAAAAAGCAACAGATACTGGAGAAGTTGTGGGGAAAGGGGATCCCCACTACACTGTTGGTGGGTGTGTAAACTAGTAAAACCCCTGTGGAAAATTTGTGGCAGTTTCTATAAGATCTGAAAATCAACCTTCTTCAAGACCCAGCAACCCCCCTTGTGGAATACACCCAGAAAAACTCAAATTGATCTATAAAAGAGATACCTAGGGAAGACATGTTGGCAAAAGTTTGTATTCCCAGAATTTTGGAATTCGAAGCAAGAGGATTACCTGAGATCATGAGTTCAAGACCAGCCTGGGCAATTTGGAAAGACATTGTCTCTACAATAAATAAAAAATTTACTCAGAAGTGGTAGTGTGCATCTGTAGTTCCAGCTACTTGGAAGGCTGAGGCGGAAGGATCACCTGAGTCCAGTGGTCGGGAGCTGCAGTGGCCCTGCACTCCAGCCTGGGCAACAGAGTGAGATGCTAACTCAAACAAGATACCTGCACACAAATATTTATTGTAGCACTATTCACAACATCAAAACTATGGACCCTTCCATGCTGTCCTTTGAAAGAGAACTGGGTAATGAAAATGTAATGTATATACATGATGGAATACTATGCAATATTATATTAGTATATTATATTATACAATAGTACATTTCAAATATAATTATTAGGGATCTAATGTATATCAATGACTTACGGTAATGTCTTGTATACTTAAAAATTTGCTAAAATAATAGACATTATGTGGTCTCGTTACAAATAATAGAAATGGAAACTATGTAAGATGGCTGATATGTTCATTAACTTAATTGTAGTCATCATTTCACAATGTGTAGGCACACCAAATTATAACTTTATACACAATAAATATATGGTTATAAAATTTTTATGTATAAAAACTCAGATGCTCAACATAAATATGTGTGTAGGTATGTATGTTTATGTGCATATATGTAACCTTGTCCTAGCTTTACCTCCCCCCAAAATAATAATAAAATCAGAGTTATTGTGAAACAAGGTAACATGAGGGAGTTTTATATACATTTATCAATGTTCTATGTGATATAGTATACTAAGAAATTTGGACATATAGAGTTTAAATGACCAATCCCAGTTAATAAAGAAAAAGAAAAATTAAAGTAAAAGAACACTAGAAGCAGGGCTCGGTGGCTCAGCCTGTAATCTCGTACCTTTGGGAGGCTGAGGTGAGTGGATTGCCTGAGCCCGTGGGTTCGAGACCCACCTGGGCAGGCGAGACCTCATCTCTACAATAAATCAAAAAATCAGTCGGGCGTGGTAGCGCATGCCTGTAATTCTGGCTACTTGGAAGACTGAGGAGGAAGGATTGCCGGAGCCCAGCAGGTCGAGGCTGTGGTGGCCGGGAGCGGCCACTGCACTCCAGTCTGGGTGACAGAGTGAGATTCCATCTAAAAAAAATAAAAAATAAATAACAAATGACACTAGGGTGTCTTCTATCTAGAGACATATTCTGTGTCCTGGTAGAATTATGGAGTATCAATTCCATAAAATCACATGGAAACCTCCCTAGGATAGAAACTCATAAAGAAGAAAACTTATAACATCTATCAGCACAGGTTTTACAATTTCTCAAACAAAAAACAACTTCACCACTACTCTCAAATATTTTCAACATGAAAAGCAAGAAAATTTAAAAAATAGTTTAACATGGATTTTCTAAATAAATAAATAGATATTAGGACATTCTGAAAAGCAACAGAAATGCAGTCCCTTACAAACCATTAAGAAGATTTTGATTTTCACTGTAACTTTGAAAGGAGATCATTGAAGAAGAAGCAGAATTTTGCGGAATTTTAGAGCAGGGAACAAATGTCCCTTTGTGTCAAGAAAAGAAAGAATCCCATGCTTCTCAGAAACCATTTCCACTGGAGCAGTCCACCTTCCCAAACCACTCTTCAAGATCTGCTTTCTCCTTGACCTGTGTCATCTGCTTCATTGATGCTGACCTAGCTGGGGGTTTGGCTAATGTGCTATCTCGTCACATTCCAGGGCTCTTTCCTTTCCTTCAGTCTAGTGATCAGGTCTGACTTAGAAAGTCAAAAGCTTATAGCCACCTCTTGATTGTAGGTGTGGGCAATGGTATCCTATGCCACCAAATTTCTGGGCTTACTACTATTAATATAGATAGAAGGACACAGGTGAGTCGAAAAGAAGAATGGTTGTCAAAATGAAGCGTCTTTAATTTTTTCTTTTCTATGTTAACACATCATCAAATTGTGTTTGATAGCAGGAATCTGAAACTCATTCACGAAAGCAGCAATTCCCAGAAAACAGTCTACAAAGAAAGAACGTGAAACCCTTAGTATGAAATAGGGATTGTGTGTGGAATGTCCCCACCCAAACAAAACAGGTTTCTCTGGTTCTCTTACATCACATTTCTGTAAAATATCTGCTGAGGGGGGTTCAGGCATTCTCACTCCTCTGGAGAGAGTTCAATGGCCACATTCTTGAATATCAACAGTCCCTGAAAACAACAACAAAAACAACAACCTATATTTACCATGTGGTAGTGTACTGTAGGCAAAACAAGAGGGAAGAAAACAGGATTCAGGTAACTTGACAACTAGAATTATGCAATAAAATAATTTGCAACACAGAAATATTCTCTAATGCATCAAGTCTGAAAAAAATAAAATCTACTCAGCCAGTGTAGACATTATTTTTGTGAAAGATACAGCATAAATCTGGACACAAAGAAAGACATATATATTATTAAGTGCTATATTTATGTGACAGAAAAAGTTGCATATACAGCTCAGAAGACAAACTCATAGTAGGTTGGAAGGTCCTCGTCAACTCAAGTTTTAATGTGTACAACCATGAACTGAATATCATTATGATTATAATTACTATTTTGAGTTGGAGAATCACTCTGTTGCCCAGGTTGGAGTGCAGTGGCAGCTCCCGGCCACTGCAGCCTCAACCTGATGGGATCCGGCAATCCTTCTGCCTCATCTTATTTATTTATTTTTTTTGAGTTGGAGTCTCACTCTGTTGTCCAGACTGGAGTGCAGTGGCCGCTCCCGGCCACCGCAGCCTCGACCTGCTGGGCTCTGGCGATCCTTCCACCTCAGCCTTCCAAGTAGCCGGAATTACAGGCATATGCTACCACACCCGGCTGACTTTTTTATTTATTGTAGAGATGAGGTCTCGCTGCCCAGGCAAATCTCGAACCCACGGGCTCAGGCAATCCACTCACCCCGCCTCCCAAAGGTGCAGGATTATAGACTGAGCAACCAAGCCTGGCTCTGCCTCATCTTTCCAAGTAGCTGGAACTACAGGTGTGCACTACCACGCCCGGCTAATTTTTGATTTATTGTACAGATGAGGTCTCGCCAATTTGCCCAGAGGGTCTCGAACCCATGGGCTCAGGCAATTCACTCAGCTCAGCCTCCCAAAGCACGGGATTACAAGCTGAGCCACGGAGCCCGGCATGAGCAGAATATTATCTTATAATGCAAATTCTGATTCAGAAGATACGGGGCTAACTGTGTCATTCTGTTACCCATGCTGGGTGCAGGTGCACAATCACAATTCATGTAGTCTCCATCTCCTGGCCTGAAAGGATGCCTCCTCCACAGCCTCCCAAGTAGCTGGGATAAATTGGTATCAGGTGCCAAGGCACACAGGTGCAACACAACATTCATGCTGAGATATTATAGGCCAAAAGGTTAACAAATTATAATCTCAATTTAATGATAAACATGTTTTAGGAAGAAATCTGCTTACAGGTATCTCCCATGGAATGTAATCTCTAGTATTTATAAGCTGGGCTCGGTGGCTCAGCCTGTAATCCCGTGCCTTTGTGGGGCTGAGGTGAGTGGATTGCCTGAGCCCATGGGTTCGAGACACACCTGGGCAGTGAGACCTTATCACTACAATAAATAAAAAAAAAACAGTCGGGCGTGGTAGCGCATGCCTGTAATTCTGGCTACTCAGAAGGCTGAGGCAGAAGGATTGCCGGAGCCCATCAGGTCGAGGCTGTGGTGGCTCGGAGCGGCCACTGCACTCCAGTCTGGGTGACCGAGTGAGACTGCAACTCAAAAAAAAATAAAAAGTGTATTTATAATGTTTGTTTTTGGCATCGTAGAGAACAAGACTCTTTTCATTATTCTTTATTCAGACCTTCCTGAGTTGTTCTGGGCAGTAACTGCCATCGTGTGTAAATGTGCATTTTATTAACTGTGTTCTCCATGGAGCTGATGGAGCATCATGTAAAATGTTAATCATTCATGTTCCCATCCTTCACTAGGATCTGAGGATCTACCCCATTTCCAAAGGGAATCTTGGGTATCCACACCAACTTTCCATGTTCCCCAGTCACAAGGGAACATTTTCATTTTTATTATTATTATTTTTTGGAGCCAGAGTCTCACTCTCTCACCCACGTTAGAGTGCAGTGGTATGCTCATGACCACTGTAGCCTCGATCTGCTGGCCTCTGGAAATCATTCAGCCTTAGTCTTCCAAGTAGCTGGAACTACAGGTGAGTGCTACCATGCCCGGTTAATTTTTTATTGGAGAACTGAGGTCTTGCCAAGTTTCCTGGGTGGTTCTCAAACCCGCGGACTCAGACAATTCACTCGCCTTGGTCTCCCAAAATGCTGGGATTACAGATTGGGCCACTGAGTCTGGCCGGGAACATTCTTAATACTGCAGGTCGTACATTAATGGTGAGAACAGTTTATGACAACTAAGCAGCATGGATCCTGATAACAGACGGGACTCTGGTATATTGGGAGACGTGTCCTTCAGAGCCCTTGAATATCACAGGACAACAAAAATAGTTGAAACATGCTCATTAGGCATGACCAGCACAAGCACCAGTAGAGGTTTGCAAGGTTTAAAAATGAAATTCCTTGTGACCTGGGAAACATTTACCTGAGAACCAGCCATTGTGTTCCTTTTCTCCTACTTCTCTGGGATTAATACTTTTATTGTTTTGAGTTGGTGTCTCACTCCCTCACCGAGTTTGGAGTGCAGTGGCATGCCCACAGCCATCCAAACTGTCAACCTGCTGGGCTCAGGCAATACTTCTGCCTCAGTCTTCCAAGTAGTTGTAACTACAGCCACACACTACCATGCCAGGCTAATACTTGATGTATTGTAGAAAAGAGGTCTCACCAAGTTGCTCAGGCTGGTCTTGAACCCAGAGGTTCAGGCAGTCCACTCGCCTTGGCATCCCAAAGTGCTGGGATTACAGGTGGAGCCATGGATCCCAGCCTTCTGGGATTTCTTATGAGGTGAGATGATTTGGAGACATCACACCTACATGTTGAAAATATGCCTTTAGTTTAAAATTAAATTGAATATTTATTTTTTGTTACAGTCTCACCCTGCCACCTGGGTAGAAGTGAGGTGGCACCATTATTACTCACCACAACCTTGAACTCCTGGGTGCAGACAATCCTTCCATTTCATTCTCCAAGATAGCTGGTCTCAAACTCCTGGGCTCAAGCAATCCTCTCACCTCAACCTCCCTAAGTGATAGGACTACTTGCATGACTTATGATGCGCATCCAGAATATCCCCTAACATAAACACAGTCTTCCCCTTGCTACCATCACACCCACAGACGAGAGGGCCCAGAAAGGGAGAAAAAGTTCACTTTTCTGTCTTCTGCAACAGGAGACAAATTCTAAAACAATGAGCTCCTGCTTGGAGTTCAAATTGTGACTTTATTATTTACTTCCCCCAAGTGCCCTCTCTTGCAAACACTAGCAATTTCTGCTATAGAAATGAAAATATGGCCGCGCTGGCTTACCTGACTGATCAAAACCAAGCAGAGCACAACAGGTGACCTCGCTTCTGAACTCAACTTTCACGAACATATCTTGTAACCCTCTGTTTGACAATTACGTCATGTTAGAATCACATGGGGGTGACTGGATTCCGTGTATCATACCTGTAATCGCAGTTTTTTGAGAGGCTGAAGTGAAAGGACTGCCTGAACCCTGGGGTTCGAGATCAGCCCGGGGAACAGGCCAATACCTCATTTTTGCAATATATCAACAAATAAGCTGGGAATGGTGGCATATGTCTGCAGTTCCAGCTACTTGGAAGGCCGAGGTGAAAGAATTGCCTGTGGCCAGTCCCAAACCTCGCACGGGCACCGCACGTGGGTCGTATCCTCCTCACGAACCTTGTGGGTCCCGAACACGTGGAGAGGGTCTGTGTGGGGAAGACTCAACTGGTGAGGTCGCCACAGGACAAGGCCTCGGGGTCCCGTCCTAGCCTCACCTACACCGAGGGGACCGGGCTGAGCAGCCAGTCGGGAATGGTGCAGGCTCGGGACTGAGGGGGAGGCGGGCCACGCCACGGCCGGATCATCCGGGTCCATCCCGTCCCCCTCTGTGAACACCCCCAGCATACTCACCATCTCCCGGCTTCCGGGTGTCCAGGCGTCCTCCCCACAGACTCCCACGACCTGCAGGTCACAAGGCGACAGAGGCTGAAGCAAAGAATTGCGACACGCATGGGTCAGGGAGAGCAAGGCAAAGCCGTAAACACGACGCAGCTCTGTGTGCAGGCGCAGGAGATGAAGGCCGGATCAGAGCCCACTCACTTCCGACTGTCGTCTGATTGGTCAGTTCAGACCTCTGAATCCATTGATTGGACAAGACTCCAGGTCCCGCCCTTTTGGACTTGACGGACAGGAGAAGAAAAACGAGAGGGACTCCATAGGCGAAGGCACGTTTAGAGTTCTCTTTGCCCCATAGTCTGGGAGGAAGAGGGGAAGGAGTAGGTTTGTGACCCTCTTGGGGCATGATGGGAATCTTCATCGCTCCTGGTCGGTGGATCACTGGACTATAGAACGACACCACTTTTCCCGGGACACGTTGCGATGTACTTAGGCAGCTGCAGGAGGCACCATAAGAAGACATTTAGACTCCAACGTTCCCAGCATGCCCTGCGAGGGGACACAACCCTACACCTCCCCATCCTGTTTCGGAACTGAAAGTAATCTCAACCTTTTCTTGTCCGATGCAGCCGGGTCTCATCGCATCTCTTATCACTCAAGAGGAGAGGGCTGGGGACTAGAACTTTATCCAATCAGCGGATGCTAAAGTCTGAACTGGCCATCAGATGGAAGCCGGAAGTGAGGGAATGGCTTCGGGGTTGTGACCGGGCCTTTCTATCCTGCGCCTGGGCACTTAGCTTGGTTGTTCCATCAGGTTTGCCTTGTTAACTGGGAATCACGAGTGTTGTATATCTTCGCTTCAGCTTCTGTCGCCTTGTGACCTGTAGTTTCTGGGAGGTCATCTGGTGGACTCCAGGACACTTGGAATCCGGGAGATGGTGAGTATGCGGGCGGGTGAGAAAAGGGGAGCGGCAATGGACCCGGATGGCCCTGTTGTGGCAGAACCGGCCTTCCGGTCAGCTCTGAGCCATGGGCAGGTGCTGGTGGCTGACAGCCCTACCTTCGCCTTATCTGGATGATCTAGGTGGAAATCTCCTGGGTCTGTCGTCAGGGTCATTGGACTTTTGTGTCACCAGGTCCAAACCCAGTTCTGTCGAGACAAGCAGTTGGTGCAGGGACTGACTTTATTTTGTAGTGACATTAAAATCGAGGACATGAGGAGTCCGCGTTCTAAAGACCCCTCCTGGGTTGTGCATGCTTTTTCAAAAATTTATTCCAGGCTTGGGGGCAGAGGGGAGCCAAGATCAAGAGGTGACTTAGACTTGCAGGTATTTGGGCGATGAGAGGAGTCCTGGAAATGGTAAATTCTTTCTCCTTGGTTGATTGTCTCCTTGCTTCTTTATTTAACAAAACAGAGTTAGTGCACATACTCCCACTTTTCCAGAGTTAGTATGAAGGGCTGCATTCTTGTCTGTCTCATCTTTTCAGCATTTCAAAATTATTTTAGCTACGTGCAAGCAGGCAAAGAAACCAGAGTCCCCCCTCCATCTAAAAGGGAGTCATGTCAGACTTTTGACAGTTGACTCCCATTTGTAGTTGATTAAGTCTAAGTTTTATTGTTTTTCTTTTTTAGCAATATTCAAGAACTCTTTTAGTTCGGAGACTGGTTTCTGTGCACCTTTACTCACATCCCTATTCTTAAGGGGAAAAGGCAAAAATGATTTCTGTCCTCTGGATGATCTTGCAATTTGAAGGAAGAAAAACTGTCCCAAAGGACAAGGTAAGCCCACCTCTGGGAGATGGTGGAAGACTCCACACATCAAAGAGAACCTTAGGCACACAGGAGAGCATATGTTGGGGCTACTGAGAGTGTGGTAAGACTCTGACAAAAAAAAATACATTCCATATAATTTTGAAATAAAGGCATATTTCAACATGTAGGTGTGACTTGATTAGATAATCTTACCTGAAAAGATATCAGAGAAATAGGAGGAAAAGGACAAAATGGCTGCTTCTGAGGTAAATGTGTCCCTGATCAACAGGAATGTCATGTTTTTGAAACTTGAAAACCTTCCTGTTGTCCTTGTGATGGCCCTGCCCAATGAGTTTGTTTCAACTATTTTTTGTTCTTCATGTGATATTCAGTAGGTCTACTGGACATGTCTCCCTATATAGCCTCCACTGTTCTCTTTTTCCATACTGCTTATTTGCCATGAACTGTTCTCACCATGAATGTAAGAACTGCAGTATTAAAAATGTTTTCTTGTGGCTGAGGATCATGGGAAGGCACAGTACCTAAGAATCCTGTTGGAGATAGGGTAAATCCTCAGATCCCAGTGAAGGTTGTAAACATGTCCGTTTTTTAAATTTTTTGTGTTGGAGTCTCTCCCAGCCTGGGACATGAGAGTGAAACTCCTACTCACAAAAAAATAATAAATATACATAAAATGTATACATATTTATATTTATATACATATATACACATGTATATCTTTTATGTATTTAGCAAGCGATTTTACCTTTCATGGAGCTGGTCCATGGCAAATTTTAGGTTACGTAGGTCACATCAATTTCTAGGGTAAGGTTAAATACACTCAGTTCTCCACAAACCACAGCAGTGGTGCCAGTTTCAGCTATTCCTGCTATACTTAGCTTGACTTCTGCAGGTACTAACAAGGGAACAGTGCATTTTGAATAAGCAATTGAAGACCAGGGCGATTGAGTAGAAGAGCACCTTTGGGACCACAATAAGCATAAACCTAAGGTAGCACATGAACAGTAATATATAAAGTAGAATGATTAATTAACCTTTTGGTAGTAGTACATTTTGTAAGCCCTGTAGAACTAGCTAACCAGGTGTTGTCAGTGGCCATGTATGCCATGGGTTTGGCTATGGTTAGAGTGAGGGTTAAGCTACAAATATCAGAGAACAGAGAAGTTGTTAGATTAAAACCTGGGGTTATAAGGCAGGAGGTTTTACCAGTTACATCACCTAGATTGATGTGAACCATTTCCAGAGATCATTTACTTTTGTCTACATTGTTGATGATAGGAGTTTCCACTTCTAGGCCCACATAATATGAGTTTATGGTTTTAAGCAGAACCAACAATCTGGGGCCTAGTGACATTAAGCAGATATTGCATATGAGTTAACATAGGAAAAAGACTAGGGGGTTGGTGGGCCAGTTTTGGAAGTGGTCAAGATGA